CAACACCTGGCTATTTTTTTTTTTTTTTTTTTGGTTGCAGCCGTCATTGTTGTTTGGCAGCCTGGGCTGGATTTGAACCTGCCAGCTCAAGTGTATGGCCTTAGCCGCTTGAGCCACAGGCGCCGAGCCTCTCCCCTGGCTCTTTATACTTGGGCTCCTTTTTATCTCTTCCTTAGAGAGTCTTTCTGTGACCCTTTCATCCCATAGTCCATTTCTTGGCTCCTCCCCTGCCTTCCCCTTCAGACTCTGAGATTTGGGGGAGGGAGGGCAGAACCATCCCTGCCATGTGTACCTTGCAACCTGGCCTGCTTGGCACGTAAGAGGCATTCAGTGGATGTGATCTGAATGAATGAATGAATGAATGAATGCAGGCATAGACTGGACTGTGCAGGCAGACCCACAGCAGGAGCCACCTTTTTTTGCGGATGAGGGGAATGCCCCTTCCCCGGGCCTACACAGGCCTGGCCCGTGAGGGCCCCTCCTTCCTTCTTTTCAGCCAAAGCTCAAAACCGAAAGACACACTTGGTGCCTGGGTGGAAAATTTCAGGTCTCAGTAAGTAGAAGGGAGGAATTTCTGGGGGACAAAGGTGGGGTAGGCACACCTGGAAGGATCTGAAGTGGGAGGTCCTTTTTTCACTTCACTGTTCAGTGCCTATGAGACCATGAGTGGGTGCCTCAGTTTCTCTATCAGTGAGGTGACTTCTCAAGAGGTCTTAAGGGGCCCGGAGTTGAGATTTCTAGGCTCCACGTAGAGGTGAGACTGAGCTGGAGGAGGTGGTGGTGACAGTGGCTGCAGTGTCAGGCGGGGAGCACAGGACTCCCACATCCACACTATAGCAGGGAGCCCCTAAGTGAGGGTGGGACTGGAATTCCCTCTGTGGTTCCAGCATTGGGCCACACTTGAATTCCTGAAAACTGCTGCTGAATCTCCCACTGGCCCCATATTGTAGGCTGGTCAGACGCATCTTGCCTTGGGGAAATTATGGCTTAGAGATGCAACCTGCGTGGGGCGACTCCAGAGTCCCTGTGCTTAATCTGGACATTCCCTCATCCCCTGGGAGAAGGTGGTAATGATGCCTGCTAGTCCAAAGCCCCCTGGACCCCTGACAACAGGGGGCTCAATCTGCTCTGAGATGGGAGGTCCCCAGGGGACCCAGGACCTGCCGAGTGGTGCCAATTCAGGCCCCTTGACACAGGTGGCACCATGCTGCGGATCCTATGTTTGGCACTCTGTGGCCTACTGACCGGCACACGAGCAGACCCTGGGGCGCTGCTGCGCTTGGGCATGGACATCATGAACCGCGGTGAGCTTGTGGGCAGGAGCTGGGCAGGATGCCTCTGTGGGTCTTTGTTTTCACCCAGCCCAGAGTGGGACACAGTGACTGTAAGGGGCCTGGCATGCCCAACCCAACCTCTCCAACTGAGTGTCTCTCTGGACCCCAACTCCAGAGGTCCAGAATGCCATGGATGAGAGTCACATCCTGGAGAAGATGGCAGCTGAGGCAGGCAAGAAACAGCCGGGCATGAAACCTATCAAAGGCATCACCAAGTAAGCAAGGGTGAGGGTGGGCCTGGGGGTTCGGGCAGAGGGTGATGGGGAAGATTGTGCCCAGACCTGAGAAGGCCAGGTGAGAGAGCTGCTGCCAAGGGTGGGGCCCCTTTCCTGCCTTGTGCTATCTTGCTATGTGACATTGGGTGGGTCACTGCTCCTGCCAGGGCCCAGCCACCTACTAGGGACAATTCTTGCCCTTTGTGAGCAGAGTCACTTGAGGAGGAAGTAAGGTTGAAAAGTCAAACATCAACTCCTTGCACGCAGTATGAGCTCACAGTGTGTGAACCTACATGCAAACATTCTCAAATGGTACAGCTGGGTGGGTACAATCATTTAATGATAAGAGGAAATTGGTTCCTCTGTACATGCTATGTGGCATAGACCAGGAAGGAAATACCTAGAATGATGCATCGGGAGGGTGCTGGGCCACTGTCTAGACTTAGCAGGAAATAGGACCGCGATCAATTAACAATGTCTGCCAAGAGCTGAGGATAGGCAAGTGGAGGTAGATGTGCCGTATCTTTATTATCCTGGTTTTCAACTAGGGGTGATCTTGCCTCCAAGGAGACATTTGGCAATGTTTAGAGACGTTCTTGGTTGTCACTGCTTGCAGGAGTGGCATTTAGTGAATTGAGGCCAGAGGTGCCACTAAACTTCCTGCAATGCACAGGACAGCCTCCCACAATAAAGAAATATCCTGCCCAAAATGTTGATAGTGCCACTCTTGAGAAACGCTGATCTAATCAAACCTCCACATTTTTTTGATGAGAAAAATGAGGCCCACAAAAGGGAAGAGAACAGTCCAAGGTCACTTAGAGTTAGTTATGCCTCCCATCTTCCATGTGATGGGTGTATTCTGTATATACATTGGTTCCTGTTCAGCCTTTTGTTTGCATTTTATCATGGTCCTCTGAGGCGAGGTCATCCCCGTGATGTGGCATAAGCCTGACATGGGTGTATCCAAGGCACTCAGTAAGGTGGTAGAGAAGCAGGTTGAGGTCCTGGTCTCGCCTGCTCACTTCTCATTGCTGTGGATGTCTGTCCCCTCCCAGTTTGAAGGTGAAGGATGTCCGACTGCCTGTCATCACACTGAACTTTGTACCTGGAGTGGGCATCTTCCAATGTGTGTCCACAGGCATGACCATCACTGGCAAGAGGTGAGTATGGCAGAGGTGGGGGAGGAGAGTGGGAAGCATAATGGCCTTCCTGTCTCACCTCATATGCACATTTATTGAGTGCCTACTATGTACCAGCTGGGTGCTATAAGCTAAGGTGATGTAGACTTGGTTCCTACCTTTGATGGGATCCAGACCTGAGTACAATCATAGACTGAGTGATTGGTCTAGGACAGAGGAAGCACTAGAAGGTCAGGGGAATCAGAAGAGATTTTGAGGAGGTCAGGACTGCTGAGCAGAGTTTTGAAGGATGTGTAGGAGTTCATCAAAGGAAGAGGGGAGGGGAAAGGATGGTTGTTGAACTTTGGACAGGTCCCACCCCTCCCATTTCTGTTCTGTGGGGGTGGTCCCCTTCCTTTTCCCTCTCTCAGAACTGCTGACACTATGAGCAAGGAGGAGGCAGGGACAGTGGCCACAGGGGCAGAGCTGCCCACGATGCCTGCCTACCCCATCCTCCAGCTTCATGGGAGGGAACATGGAGATCATCGTGGTCCTGAACATCACAGCAACCAACCGGCTTCTGCAGGATGAGGAAACAGGCCTTCCCATGTTCAAGAGCGAGGGCTGTGAGGTCATCCTGGTCAGCGTGAAGACCAACCTGCCCAGCAAGTGAGGGGCTCTGTGGCTGGGGAGGAAGGCTGCTCCACATTGCAACACCCCCAGCATCCCACTTCCTGAGCCACTGAACTCCCTTAACTATGTCCTTTCATGTCCTGTGCCTAAATTCTTGCCACTGGTGCACCTGTCCACCCACTCTCTGGTGCTTGTGTCCATATAGCATGCTGCCCAAGGTGGTCAACAAGTTCCTGGACAGCACCCTGCACAAAGTCCTCCCTGGCCTGGTGAGTAGCCCAGAGAAAGCCTCTACTCCTCATGGCTCAGATGGCTTAGACCAGGGCTGGCAAACCCTTCATTGTGGGTTCTGACCCTGATTGGTTGTTAGTGGCAGGGAAGGTTGTAGCTGGCTCAGTGAGATCATCTACTGATGTCTGCCATGAGCATGGGAGGAGGGGGCAACAGCTTACATGTCACAGCTTGCCAACCCTGTTTAGACCAGTCCCTGGGGAATGAGTCCTTGCTGATTTTAAAGACTGTGATTTTGGTCAGGAGATCTCGATTCTCCTGCAGGCTCCGCCATGGACTTCCTGTGTGACTGGGGCCTTGGGTGCCCCACCAGTCCTGGTCCCACCTGGGATCTTGGGATTCCTCATGGAATACCATTCAGTTGTGAGGAGCAAGGCCCCCCATGTAGGGACCCTCTCAGCTCAGTGCCGTCTCTGCTTCCAGATGTGTCCAGCCATTGATGCGGTCCTGGTGTATGTGAACAGGAAGTGGGCCAACCTGAATGGTGAGTGTGGCCTCAGCCACACCTCAGCCCTACATGGGGACACCAGGATGGAGGGACTTGATCTCTACTCCCCATTCAAATGCCTGCTCGCAGCCCAGCCTTGGGACTCAGAAGGCCTGAGTCATGGTTCATCCCCACTGTCCAGATGGGAAGCTTGAGGCCCTGAGGTCCTGAGAGACTCTGGGTTCCTCCCTCTCATCTCCCACCCAGTGCTCCACCAGCATTCCCAAGACTCTAAGAACAAAGGCCATCCTGCATTTGCCCACAAACCTTGTGCCCTGAATAGTAATCCAACGGTGGCAATGCCTGATTCTCCTCTGCACAGGGTATATGTTGCCTCCATTTTGGGCTCCCTAGTGTTGGGGAACAGGAATGTCAACATCTGGGACTGAAGAAAACTTGCACACGTCCCCAGCAGTGTGGCCTGGGAATGCCACTTCCTCCTCTGAGCCTCAGTTTGTGGATTTGTGCAGTAGCTGATAATCCTGTCCCGCTGGTCTGTTGTGAGACCAAGCTGTGACAGTCCTTGGTGGACTCTCCAGCCCTGTGCTGACAGAGTGGCGTGATTTTCCAGGCTAGGCACCATTTCCTCTGTTCTACAGATGAGGTTACAAAGGCTCAGAGATGCGGAGAAATTTGCCTTGGGTCACACAGCCAGGCTCAGCTGCGGCTGGCTGGTGCCAGTTTCTCCGGGCTGCCCCTGCGGTTGGTGCCTTTCTGAGGAGACCCTCCTTTTCATACAGACCCTATGCCTGTGGGCAAGATGGGCACTGTCAAGTATGTCCTGACATCCACACCTGTCACCACGGCTAACTACATTCAAGTGGACTTTAATGTAAGTGCCAGGCACCACCTGGGGGCTGGGGTCTCAGGCTCTTCAGTCTGGGTGGTTGGCGCTGCTCCCACCAGGACAGGTGGCTGGACTGGCACTGTGAAGTTTGGAGACCCCTCAGGCCCTGGTAGGCCAGGCTCGCCATGAGGGTGCTCCTTAATGCTAGGCCGCTCCCTCCTCCTGCTCTGAATGTGAGCCGTGAGTGCTCAGCTGGTTTCTGGGGCTGCCAACTTCACACTCCCATGCTTCTCCCACTCCCTGGCTCATCCAGTTGTGCGCTGTCCTTGTACAGATGGGAGCACTAAGGCCATGGGCAGGCAGGGCTGGGCTAGGGGTCCATGGTGAGTTGGTGGCAGAGTTGGGCCCTCGTCCAGGTCTTCGGGGTTCCAGGTGAGGGGGTGAGATGCACCTTCCAGAAATAGGAATAAAAACCCTAAGAAGTCACCTCCCTGTGAAGTCCTCCTCCAGCGGGCTTCGTACAGGCCCCATGGTGTTTCCAATTACCTCTTTCTGCCAAGAAGAAAGGAAAGAGCACGTTCTGGGTAAATGAAGGACTCCAACCACTTAGGGTCAGTTCAACTGAGTTTACTGAAGCAATCCCAGGAGAAAATGCCAGTGGTTCAGTGACTAACCTCCTTATCCTCTCCAGCCTCAGTCTACCCACCTGTACCCTGGGAGGGATGGGCCACTGTAGCCTGCTATGGCTCTGACAGTTAATGACTTGCTGACCTGGGACTTGCTTTGAGCTCTACTGGTTTGGAGGACTGAGACTCATCCCTGACCATAGGCCCTCATGGCCAAGGGTGAGTGTCTCCCTCCCACTGTCCCACAGCCTGTGGTGCAGCAGCAAAAGGGCAACGCCATCAAACTTGCTGATTCTGGGGACACCCCTGAGTTCCCTGAGGGTTATGCTGAAGGCTCATCACAGCTGCTGCTCTCAGACGCCTTCCTCACGGCAGAGCTCACCCTGCTGCAGAAGTCCTTTGATGTCAGTGTTCGGGATACCATGGTGAGTCATCGGGTGCCCCACCCCATCTGCCTCTGCCCCCATAATGACAGTCCCTGCTTAGTTTGTCCACCCAGGGAATTCTGCTGCAGTTGTGGACAACAGTAAGACTAGGAGATGCCAGGACTGATTTGGGCTCCTATCACCAGTTCATCTCACCATCCAGCACCCTCTGCCCATGTAACCACCACCCACTGTCCATACTACTTATCACTCTACATCTCTAATGCCTTGGCCATCCATCCACTTTCCTTTTATCCAATCACTACCAACCCACCTATCTAGCTAGCTACCATGTATTCATGCTCTAGGTTCCATCCTTCCAACTCGTATCCATCCCTTCGTATCATCCACACAAGTTCTAGAACAGGGCCTGCTGTCAAATAAGTGAGTCTCTGCACCTGCCATTTACCACTCAAGCACCCCTACAACCACCCAACCTGCTATTACCCATCCTCCTACTCATCCACTCATTCTTCCATATATGCATCCAACATCCATCCACATATTCATCAACTCACACTGATCTATCCATTTATCTTCCCATCCATCTTCCCACCCCATTAATCCATTCATCTACTTTCCAACCCATTTATCACCCCATTCCACCATCTTCCCATCCACCTATCCTCTTATTCATCATTCCTTTCATATATACACCTACTCATCCTTCCACCCACCCATCCATCCACTCACACATCTATTTATCCATTTTCTCTATCTATCTATCTATCTATCTATCCATCCATCCATTCACAAATCATCTACCCATGCCCCCTCACTGATCACATCTACCCATCCTCCCATCTATCTTCCTGCTTTTCCATCCAACATTTCTCAGCACTGGACCTTGTGCTAAAAACTGTGGGTGCTGGAATGTGTAGGCCATTGTTTGGGTTACCCAGAAGCTCACTGTCTAGTTAAGTACAGAGTGTTGAGCATTGTATGTGCCTCAGAGGCACACGATATTGAGTCAGAGGAGATGTTTGTTAGGCTGCGTCACAAAGGATATCAATAATCCTAACCTTGACTTTTGTTTTGTAGATTGGCGAGCTCCCCCCACAAACCACTGGGACACTGGCTGGCTTCATCCCTAAAGTGAGTGCCCTAATTCCTCATGGACATCCCATCCTGCCCTGCCCTGTTGCGCTCTGGTCAAAGGGAAAGACTCAGGAGGTATCTTTCCAATGCCACAGGTCCCTTGTCCAATTCGAAAGCATCTTGAATTCTCCATAAAGCACTCTTTGGGTCCAGCATAGAAAGAGTTCAACTCTTATGCATTATACTTTCTATGTTCAGTGTCGAATAGCCAAATTGTGTGTTTTGTTTCTTTTATTTCCTTATAGACACATCATGGCCTTTGCATACCGTACTTCCTGTGCCCAAGGTGGAAATCACCTATTTCAAGAGGGACTCCTGATTTCGACTGAAGTCACCAGTCTAAGGACTGGCCCTGAGTGAAGTCTCCTGGTTTCTGTAGGTGGCTGAGGCCTACCCCAAGTCGAAGCCCTTGGTGACCCAGATCAGGATAAACAAGCCTCCCAAGCTCACCATGAACACAGGCAAGAGCCTGCTTCACCTCCATGGCACTGTGGAGATGTCTGCTGTTCGGCGGCGGGGCAAGCCTCCAGTGTCTCTCTTTGTCCTAGAAGTTGTGAGTGAGATCTGTTCCTCCAGTATTCCCTGCTTCATGGGAGATGAGGCTGGAGAGTGGGATTTTAGTTGACAGCCACGTCATGGATTAGCGAGTTCTTAGATAATCTCAGTTACATGGTCCTAACTTCCCAGTCACCATCACCTGACGTCTAACCCTTGGCTCTGCCGTGGAGCCTTTGAAAGGCTGGAAAGGCCAGTAAACCAAGGGTCAATGGCTGAGCCCTTCCTTTCTCTTTCCTCTCTCTTCTCTCACTCCAAACATTTATTAGCATCTTCAAAGGCAGTGAGGGACTATGGGGGGAGAGAGAAACCCCAGATCCAGTTTGGGGAAATCACAGAGGTCTTCCAGAGAAAGTGATAGCTGAGCTATGTTTTAAAGGTAGAGCAGAAGCTGGCCAGTGAAGGGGTTGTTGCTGGGGTGGCTAGGGACAGAGGATAGCTCAGGCAGAGGTTTCAGCACATTCAAAGGCCTAGAGCAAGAAAATGATGTGTGCAGGGACCTACAATAGTCCCAGGTATTTTTTTCGGGGGGAGGCTATCCTGGCCCAGGTCAATGAGGGAAGAGGAACCTGGGATGGGGGTCTGGGAGACTGCTGGGTTCAATTCCTAAAAGGAGGATGGGCAGAAAGGAGGACCCCTACTTTGTCTTGGCTGTACTGGTGGTGTTGGAAGGGTGGTAAGGTCTCCGGCTTTTCCAGCCCTGATGGGAGGGGGGCCCACTGCCTTCTCTCTGCTCCCTCCTCTCCACCAGCACTTCAGTCTGAAGGTCCAGTACTCAGTGCGTGAGAACCGGCTGCAGATGGCCACCTCTCTGGACAGGTAGGAGCCTCCTGCCCCAGGCTGGCACCTGGTACCCCTTCATGGGCATCCCCAACACACTTGGCTTTCTGTTCCGGCACTTCCCCAATCCACCCAGCACAGCCCACACTGCTAGGCTGCTCTAGTCACTATCTCTGCTCTGGAACCCTCAACAGCTCCCCACTGCCATGACCTTTTCTCAAATATTGGTCTGGCACTAAAGATCTTTCTCAAATTCTCCTCCTCTCTACCCTCACCCTTCCACTAGGCTCTTTCCCAGTGAATCTGGTCAGGGGTCCAGGTTCCTCTCTCCATTAATAGGCCTTTGTTCATGCCATTCAAATGTCACCTGAGAGTCGGGGCCCAGCTGAAATGCCACCTCCTCCAGGGAGCCTTTCTTTACACCAGCAACTGCTAACATTTATTGTGCTCTCTCTGTATGTGAGGCACTGAGTATATATGCTGTATTTAATATCCTACTTCATCCTACTCTCCAGGAGGAGGGAACTACTAATATACTAGCTTTACATGTCACTCATGGATTCTTGTATTTACCTTAATAATTAATGTGACTCATATTATGTCAGGATTCTTTCAATTGCCAGAGATGGGATTTCAACTTTAACTAGTTTAAGCCTCAAAGAGAATCTTTTGGCTCATATAATTAAAAACTCTAGGGGTAGGTCTGCATTTAGGCATTGCAGGATCCAGGCAGACAAGGCCCTCAAGAATTTGTCTTCCTCCTCTCCTGGCCTTTGCTCTCCACTTTGTTGGCTAAATTCTCAGGCAGCTTCTCCCTGCAGGGAGGGAGCGTGATCCCAACAACAAGAGAAACCTCTTGTCCAATGGTTCTAACAAATTACCAAGGCTTGGGTCTAGCTTGGGTCATGTGCCCAATGCTGAGCCAATCATCATGACTGAGAGATGGCCTGCTCTGATTGGCCAGGCCTGGGTCTCGTGCTCACCCTAGGGTCTTTGGGTTTAGCCCTACCTGAATTACTTGGGATGAGTGTGGAAAACAGAGAGTCTGTTACCAGAATGGAGAGTAGACAGGTAGAACCACCAGATGCCCATCACATGGCCTGTCTGACACCAACTATGCAGGGTTGGGGGTAGGGTAAGGGGCTCCTGCTCCAAGCCTTGCGAGGATCGGAAACTGATCAGCTAGACCATAAACCTCTGTATAGCTGCCCTTGGGCAGGAGCTGCAAATATGTGTGGGGGTCCCAAAGGGAAGAGTCAGGACCAGAGAGAAGAGATCCAGGAGAGTCTAATGGTCTAAGCTGTGGGAAACAGAACGGGCTGCAATGAATGAAGGTGGAATGTGTCCCATCAAAGGTGACAGGTGACCCGAAACTTCCAAGTATCTGGCCTGAGGCTGTCAGGGACTATTGCAGTAGAAAGGGTCTGGGGTGCTTGGGATCCCCTTCTCCAGGGCCAGTGGCTCTGACCATTCTTTCCCCTCCACTCCCTTCCACTCTTCCCCTCCCCCACAGATTGCAGAGCCTGTCCCGGAAGTCCTCATCAATTGGCCACTTCAATGTAAGTGTCCCAGGTGCTTCTACCTGGTCTGGCTTGAGGGCAAGACTGGGCCCATTTTCCCAGCTGAAAGGCTACCTCCTCCAGGAAGCCTTTCCTTATACCAAAAAGAGCTAACATTTATGGGACTCTTTTTATTTTTATTTTTTGGGGGGACAGAATGCAGCAACTTTAGTGAAAGAAAAGCGCAATGAAATTTGTTGAAAGCTTAGAAGGGGAAACTCAGACACCTCCCCTCAAGCGCAGAACCTCACTGAGTATCACTGCAGGAAGAGGCCCCAAAATGGAGGCGGGATGAACAGGGCAAGGCCATTGGGAGGTTTAGGCTCCCGACCAGTTGTGTGACTTTGGGAGCTCTCTGGGTCCCTGTTTCCTTTTCTGGGTAGAATTTAGACCTCTCCCTGGATTGATCCGAGCAAGATTGCCATGGATAGTGGCAACCTGGGCTGGCCTTGGTTGGCCAAGCTGTTGTTTTTATGTGACTCTATAATTCCAGGGCCCAACACAGAACCTGCCCCAGCAGGTGCTAATAGTAGTAACAACACCAGCACTTACTCTGTTATGTGCTTTACCCAAGCTCATTTAATCCTTACAGAAACCCTGTGAGTAGGTGAGGTGCAGAGAGCTAGGAATGGGGAAACTGAGGTACAGAGAGGGGCTGAATGAATGCATGATCAAAGCTACTGAGTTTTCTGTAGAGCCATCTCTTGTCTCCTGAGTTTCCCCATATTCCTGTACTATGACCCAAGACCCTACATGTTACCTGAACAGAGAGACTAAGCAGAATGAAGGGCATAGTTCTTTGATGATAGCTGGACAAACTCTTTTGACATCTGACATTAATTCCTGTGGTCCCCAGGCCTACCCAGAGCTAGGGCTGAAAAGATTGTTGAATTGGGTTGGACTGGATGCAATTGAATTAAACAGTGGGATGTGGGTTCTTTCTTTCTCCCCACCTCCAGGAGAAGGATTTAACTGTCTTCATCACTGATTATCTCCAAGAGGCTTATGTCCCAGTCGTCAATGGTGAGGCCTCCTGCAGGCTTTGATTTTACTGGTGCCAGGAAGCACTTTAAGCAAGAAGGGGTGCCACTGGGTGATCTCAAAACCCCATCACTGGGAGGTTAAAAGGGAATAGATGATCATTGCTGAATCTTTGAGGCTAATGGAGTCGTATTGTCACCTGCCTGGGGACAATGGCCTCTCCCATGATTTGGGCTCTGACGCTTAACCCCACATCATGAGTGAGATCTTGACCTGAGAGGTAAATAGATGCCAGATCAAGGCTATTTGCTGTTTGCCTGTAACAACTGGCAGATATCATGAATCAGTCATTTCACTATTTCCCACAATCCCGCTCCAGGCAGCTATTCCTTAGTCAATTGCAGAGTGGTCAGGCTGAGATGACTCTTACTATATTTCTCAGATGAGCTCCAAGTTGGGCTCCCACTCCCGGACTTCCTGGCTATGAATTACAACCTGGCTCAGCTGGACATAGCAGAGGTGAGGGGAGGAGCTGGGAGAGGCCATGTTAATCAACATTTTCAGCCAATAGGTGATGGGCAAGAGCCTACCTAGCTCAAACTAGAGGGAATGGGGATGGGAGGGCTGGTGGTCATCAGTATAATCCTGCCAATCCATAAGCATGGCTGCCCCTCAGAACCTAGGGCCTTCCTTGGCCAGGGGTCCCACAGACAGAAACTTGAACTCTGTTACTCTCTTGCTCTACCACCTTGAGCAAATTCACCTCTGTGCCTCCATGTTACTGTGCTTAAAATGGAGATGATGATCTGGCCATAGACCTCATAGAAGTGTTATGATTCATTAAGGCTAGCCACCTAAAGACATACAGTAAGTGCTCAATAAATATGAGCTTTTCACTGCATGCCAGGCTTTCAGCTTGGAGTGCTAAATGTACATTTTTTCTCATTTGATCTCTCCACTCTGGAGGTTGGGGTGCTGGTCCCCACTTGACAGTTGAGAAAATTGAGGCTCCAAGAGGTGAAGGGACTTCCCTGGGATCACAAGGCAGGTCTCCTTCAACGTTTGCTTAAAGATCACACTGGTTTCCAGCTCCTAGTGAAGGGCCCAGTTCCATCCCATCCTTGTGCCTGGGTGGCCTGGTCATTGCTCCCCCACCCCTACTCTGGCCTTTTGCCTCCTGTCAGAATGCCCTGGTGCTGAACTTGAAGCTGGACTGACCATGGCAGGACTTCCCTGCCAGCTGCCTGCACACCTCGAACCACATCCACGCCAGGGAGGTGAGGGGAGGCCCCTGATTGGAGCCAGGTGGGCCTGGGCTGGGGCCTCGGCAATAAACAGCAGAAAGCCCCTTACAAACACAACGCTTTGGTCTCATTTTTTGTAGTAAAATTGTGTGGGTTTTCTTCCCCTTTGGTGGATTTTGGGGTCTGGAGGGCATCTGGTCACAGCTTGGAGGTGGTCATGAGCACCTCTTGAATATCTGCTAAATGCCATGCTCTGGGCTTTACTGGGACTATCTCATTTAATCTACACAATGAGCCTGTGGGCAGGGAGCAAGTGTTGTCATCCCCACTTTACAGATGAGGAAACTGAGGCACAGGAGGTCAACCCCCTTGTCCAAGCTCACACCATTTAGCAAGGTGTCTTCCCACCTTTGCTGTGTGGCCCCAAATCTTGGTGACTTGAAGATGGTTCTATTCACAGGAAGCCTGTGCCCCCAGAAATTCTCCCCAAATCACCTCCTCAAATCCTTCAAGCCGCTGAGAGAGGGAAGGACTGTTCCCATTTCACAGATGAGGAGGCTGAAGCTCAGAGAGGTGGAGGACTGGCTCGAGGCTACCTGGCAAGTCAGTGCACAGAGCGAGGATTAGAGTTTGGGCTCTGGAGCCAGCCTTCCAGGGTTCAAATCCTGCCTCTGCCTCCTCAATGCTGTGTGTCCTGGGCAAGTCACTTCACAAACCTGAGCCTCAGTTTCCTAAAACGAGAATGATGGCAGTACCAGCCTCAGTAGGGTTGTGAGGTTTAAATGAAACCACAAAAGGCGCTTAGGATAGTGCCTGGTGTACAGTAAATGCTCTGTAGGTGGGAGCCACAGGTGGGGTTTTGAGTCCTAGAGGGATGTGTGGGGGTGTGGGCGGGTAACTGTGTGGCCCTCGGCAGGAGGCCTGCGGGCAGGGTCTGTGCAGACACAGGGGCTTGCTGCGAAAGGGCACATGTGAAAGGCCCCTGGCGTCCATCCGCGTCTGTGTGGTCCCGTTTCACTCACATGTAACCTGTGGAGGTTTTTCCATATCTCGTATTCATGTGACAACCAGCTCCCTGACATTGGCATATCTGTCCTCATCGCTTCTCCTAGGAGTCACACTGATACTATCCTTTAAATTGACTCCTTTTTAAAGTAAATGGAGGTTTACACATCATTAAGTTAAAAATACATCTCAAAATAAATGTATTCTAAGTAGACCCTGAAAATTAGTGTCACTTAATGAATGTTTTAAAAAGACTCTGGTTGGGGGGCCAGAACGCCTAAGACCTGTGGGGTCCTGACAGGTTTGCCCCTGACCCAGCCTGGTCCAGGCCCTCCCTCACCTCAGTCGGATGCCAGGGCCACCCCCTTGTCCCTCACCATCAACCATAATCCCATCACCCATCATCTCCCCTGCTCTGGAACAATGGCAGCCTTGAGGCAGACCTGGCAGTCACAGACGCCTGGGTAATCCAGGACCCTGGGCATGCCAAAGACGCCCTCTGCTCCCCCAGCCCAACCCTTGGGTGTTCACACAGCTCACTTGTGGCTACCTAAAGCTTTATTGCCACCCTCCCCAGGCCCAGTGTGCAGATGGGGAAACCAAGGCACATGCTGTTAGAATCGGAAGGCCTGGTTTCTTACCAGACTTTGTATTCTGTGTGGCCTTAGATAAGGCACAGCTCCCCTCTGAGCCTCAGTTTCACCATCTGTGCAGTGACAAAGGGTGTGGACACTCTGACATCTAATCTGATTATTAGGGCAGTGTCTGTGGCTCAGTGAGTAGGGTGCCGGCCCCATATACTGAGGGTGGTGGATCGGCCAAACTGCAACAAAAAAATAGCCAGGTGTTGTGGTGGGCGCCTGTAATCCCAGCTATTCGAGGCATGAGAATCGCCTAAGCCTAGGAGCTGGAGGGTGCTGTGAGCTGTGACACCACGGCATTCTACCGAGGGGGACAAAGTGAGACTCTGTCTCTAATCATCATCATCATCATCTGATTATCAATAGACTTTGAGTGGTCAGTTACTGTGGATTCACCCTGGGCAGAGAATGGGGCCTGGGCCAGTGAGGGAGCCCTACACTGTGACCTCATTCTTTGGGGAATTGATAGTGGAAGTTCCAGACCCCCTATGTGAACTTGGGCCCCAGGTCACAGCTCACTCCCAAGACTCCACTAACCCTAGATGAGGAGGTAGAAACTTGGAGAGAGGAAGTGGCCTCCCAAGGGCACATGGCACACCTAGAGCTGCACTTGGCCCCTGTCTGCCTGAGTCTGAGTTTCTTCTTGGCTCCTTCCCACCACACCGGCAGTAGGATGCAATGTCCTCCTTTGAAGACACTGAGGCCCAAGGTCATAGAGCAAAAAGGGAGTAGAGCCAGGTCTTGGGATCATGGTCCCACAGCTATTAATTCCCAGGACCCTGCCAGGAAGCCTCACCCCAGGAAGCAGGAGATCACACCTGTCCTACCTACCCCGCCTTATCCCTCTCCCTTCTCAGCCCACTTCTAACTTGGACACCCCAGGAAGGCCTCCCTGGTATCTCTCAATCATCCAAAGTTCTCTGTACCCTTGGCAGCCCCCCCTTGACAGCATACAGTCCATTTCCAGGATACCTGCCTTTGCCTGGGTCAGCCGGGTGAAGGTGGGCACCTTTAGTATCAGTCTATTTTGCAAATGGTAAAAGTATAGCTCTGTAAGGCAAGTCACTCAATAGTGAGCGAAAGAGCCAGGGTTTGACCCAGGAATTCTGGCTCTAGAGCCTTCGCTCTGAGACCCAGGGGTATTTCTCCTCTGCTTGTCTGTGCCCTGCTCTGATCCCCTCCTTGGCTCTCACCACCCTCACTAGGACTCTCAAAAGAGCTGCATGTCACATTGCCCCTGGGGCTTGTGAAGCGTGCCTCCCACCCCTGTCTGTGGAGTCATGGCAAAGCTGGGGCCTGGAGACAGGTATTTTAGTGACTCTCTTCTATGGACAACCCAATCCCTGACCTGGCTTTGGTGCATGAGGGGATATGGGGATGCCTTGGGAGCAGGTGGAGGTCGGGGTCCTCTGTGGGGTTGGGGGTGAGACAGGAAATGAGGCAGGCAAGAAACTAGGCTGCATTTTCCTCTCTTTCAAGAGGCCAGGCTGGGCAGTGGTTAAGATGGTATTAGAGTCAGGTGGCCTGGCTGGACCCCTGTCTGACTTAGGGCAAGCTGCTTCTCCTTGGCCTTGGCCTCTGTAGTGTAAGATGGAGAGCTATCATAGTACTGACCTTCCTGGGTTGTTAGGGTGACTAGACATGTCATGCACCTTGTACAAATATAGCGTGCTCAATAAATGCCAGGTACCAGCTTTCCTTTCTCCTCCTCCAAATAAAGGCCTTACATTGGGGCTGGTGAGGCTGTGGGGCAGCAGAGGTGACAGTGTGCTGCAGTACGATGTCTGGGGAGAACCGTGGCCATCGCTAGCACAGCCAACCATGTGCGTGCTCTGCTGTGCTTGGGCAATTCCTCTCCTATTTACTCGAGAGAAACAAAAAATAAAAACTTACGTCCACCAAGAGACTTGATGGAATGTTCATAGCTGCTTCGTTCTTAACAGCCGACAGCTGGAAAGCCCAGCTGCCCACAGACAGGAGAGAGGGTAAAAAACAAACCGAGGGGTATTCACAGAAAGGAGCAAAGCAGAATAAACTACAGCCTCGCAGGTCAGAGACAGGATTTGCCAAGGAGGTCTCCCCCCAAAGTGCACACGTGAGACAGCATTTACGTGACACTAAAGAGCACATTGGATCAGCCATGGTGTGAAAGTCAGGACAGTGGTTACCCCTGAGGGTAGTGACGTGGAGGGGACTGGAGGAGGGCTCCGAGGGGCTCCGTTTGTAAAAAGTCACCAAGCGTGCACTCACGGTATCTGTGCCCCTTTTTATACATGTTTTATATTTTAATACAACATTTATTTTTTAAAATGTGTGGTTGAATAATGTGGCCCAGGGCCTGAAGTCATCAGAATGACCCTGTAGAGTGAGGGGGTCAGAGATTATAGAGGTAAACCAGGTGAATATTCCCCTTCTCCCCACTCATCAGACGGGGCTCAGGGTCCCCTGCAGGAGAGGCGAGAGACAGACCCAGCATGTGGTAGCCTCTGGGAGAGGAAATCCCAGGGACTGTGGGAGCTCAGAGGGGGCACCTCCCACAGCCTGAGGGTCAGGAAGGCTTCCTATAGGAGGAGATGCCTGAACTGGTACCTTCAGAAGAACTGAAAGCAAAAGCCAAGTCTGTAAGGCCATGTTGTCACCTGCAGGGCCTTGTCACTCCTCTCCAGCCACACTGGCCTCCCTGCTGGCCCTGGAACACATCAGCAGTGTCTCCATCCGCCTGGTGTGCTTTTCCCCCGGTGTCCACCTGACTCCCGCCCTCTTCTCCCTTGGCTTAAGAGGACCCCTGCTCCAAGGTGAGGAGCCTCCCGACTGCCCTCCCCACACTCCTGAGTCACTCCTGTCCTTCCCCGCTCACTTTACTCCCCACTTACTGCATCATGTGCTTATTCGTTCCCACCAGAGCTGCCCTGACCAGTACAGCACCCAATAGCCACACGAGGCAATCGCTGGAAATCTGGCAAGTCCAAATTTTGATGTACTGTAAAGGGAATTTTGAAACTTTAGTATGAGAATAAAAAAACAAAGTGTCTTGTTCATAATTTTTGTTTGATTATACGGTATATGATAATATTTTGGATATCTTAGGTTAAATAAACTATATTATTAAATTTGATTTCACCTATTTATTTCTACCTTTTTTAAAAAATGTGGCTACTAGAAAATGTAAAACTACATCTTATTTCTACTGGCCAGCTCCTCTAGGGCAGGGTCTGTTTCTTTCGTTTACGGCACTAGCTCTACCACCTAGCAAATAGTAGGTGCTACATAAATGCCTGCGATAGAATAAATGAATGAATTTCTCTTCACTGTCATCTGGACCAGACC